GTAAAACCATATTTTCAATAAACAAACAAAAAGATCCACTCATTTTGTTTCGGATACTGTCTTGTTTTCCATACTGCATCCCGCCGCCTGTTTCGACCGCGTCACGCCCTCCCCGAGTTCTAGAGTCTAGAAGTCAAGTCCCTTGAGAAACCGCGGATCCTCCTGTCGCACTGGCTCAAAGCCTTCGGCCCCATCATCCTGTAACAATGCGATCGCCACTTACCGCTACCGATGTGACAACAGCTTGCCTGCCTCGAGAGCTCTAAGAAATATCTCCCAAAAGACGACGTCCGGAGTTCTTCTTGGGAGGGCGATCTTCATCGCAGTGGACAGGGGTGCGGTGGGGCAGCGACACCTCCCAAGCGCACTTTCGGGTCTGCAGCAGAGGAAACCTTCTGTCGAACTTTCTCTGGACTAGCCACCTTTTATGCAGTCCGATGAGCCTAACGCGACGGCCCAACCATGATGTACTCAGGTCCACACCTAAATAATAAATAACGAATAACAAAGAAGTTCGACCCAGCGAACTCCACGCGCCCCCTATATCCGCCTGCGGCCACTAAAACAGTTATCCTATTTCCCCATCGTCAAGTTGTCTATCAGTAAATCTTCTGGGACAAACATTTGGAGTAAACATGAAAGTTTTATGCATTTAGTGACACTGAATTTTATTCTTGTTTGTATCTTCCGGTAACGATTTGTTTTACTGATGATACGTCCGGTTCACTTTCGAATTACCTGTTAGTCGTGCGCTATCTTGCTCTGTGCTTTTGCTAACTGTTTCAACGTAAGCACATTATTACAGCTCGGTCAACAGGCTTCATTTGCCGTAACACTAGAGACCATCACGATTCACAGATGCTGTTTATCTGAAACCTGCATACAAGACCCGAGCTCTGTGCTCGCTTTGCGATCCCATTCCGGTGACACCAACAGTGTTTTCATGTTTCCCCCATCCGGTGACGATGTAGCTTCGAGTACTGGCCAAGCCGGTGTTGGTATTGCCTTGATTCCCCGGGCTGAAGTTGCTCTGGTTGATTGGATCCCAATTAGTAGCCGGATGTGAGCGATGCGACAGTTTGGCCCTTTCAAAGCTCCGAAGTTGCGCGGAACTAATAGGTGTCTTTGTTCTCGCTGCCTACGCCCCCACAAACTGTAGCGATGACTAGGTAAAAGACGACATCTATCGACCACTGAACGAGCTCCTTTATCACCGAAAAACCACGGACACTGTGGTGCTTGCTGGGGATCCGAACGCTCAAGTTGGGGAATGGTCCACTGATGAACTGCATCTGGACAGCTAACATGGTGTAGTCTCCAGTAATGATAACGGTGTGCGGTTACTCCACCTGTGTAAAGCGCTCGATTATTTATTGGGAGCACTAACTTCCGACGCAGTACCCGCAGCAGAGTGACATGGTGCCCAACAGCCTTAGACCAGCCTTGGACGTAAATCGATCACATCGCTATCAGTTTCCGCTGGAGAGGCTGTGTCCAGAACTGTTTCTGGAGTTGGATCATATGTGTGGAAACTGACCATGAACTTGTTTGTGCTGATCGGCGGTTGTGCTTTGACGGGTGCCCACGATGACCCTGTAAGCGCATAGACACCAGTCAACTGGGGAAGCCAAGGGTTTTGAATGCGTATCGAAGTACTTTGGCGTTCGAACGGAGAAAGGGCTCACTGAACAGAGTTTAATGTTACTGATCGCATGTTAACCAGAGCTTACTGGCAACAAGCAAATCCTAATGTGGTAAAGTTAATATCCAACAATCTATAGGATCACTTCGCATTCTCTGGAACATATAAATGCTCGCTGGTACATTCCGGATGGAAACGAACGCGACGACACTCGCACAGGCCTGAAGGCGAATCTCCGTGCTAACCTGAATGGAGACTGCGAATCCTGGTGGTCTCATCGTGAGTCAGAGATAGAAGTGGCAGCTGCGCTTGGTAATCAACGGATGTTATTCCGTCTGATAGGGTAACCAGGCAGCAGGAGACTTGTTGTTAGTGACACTTTACGTGACGAGAGTGGACAGCGTGTCCACAAATGGTCAAAAGCATTGGAGCATTGAGCTGAGCACTTTGAGAAGCAATTTAACCGGCCGGAATTGTTAGATTCCTTACCGGCCACTGATCGTCTTGCTTCCTGGTCTATTGCTTTGCATACGCCCTCTCGCTCAGAAGTCGAATGTGAAATCGGACTGTTAGAGTTGAATAAAGTCACGGGACCAGAGGAGCTTCCACCTACCCTCTTCAAATTTGGGGGCCTTGCTCTTGTTGATGATTTGCGTGAAGTACTAGTGAAACCGTGGGGGTAGGAAGCTGTCCCAAACGTCTGGAGCCACTGCTTTCTTCTTCCGATCTTCAAAGGATGCTTGCGTTCAGAATACGACAACCATAGAGGAACCAGTCCGATCCCCATCGCCTCCAACTTGCTTACCACTGCACGCATTCATAGGCTGACTGGCGCGCTTGAAAGCAAGATTAGTGAACAGCGATCTGTGTTTCGTCCAGGTAATGGCTGCGTCGACCACAACTATACTTTGAGTAGATTTTTGGAGCGCCGACACATATTTTAGCGGACACCGTTTTCCTGTTCCGAGGCATCAAATTTACCTTGCATTCGGCTGATCGATGTACGCTTTTGGAGGGACTGTCTACTCAGGAATAGTGCCCGAGTGTTATATAAACAGTATCCGAGCGTTATACGTCATAGCTCGGCCAGAGTGGAGGCTTACGGCAAGCAGCCACCACCCTACAATAGCTCCAGCGGTGTAAGACAAGGATTAGCGCCGTCATCATTTCTCTTCAACTCCGTTATTGACGAAGCCATGGAGACTGTGTTCACAGGACACGGCTTAGAAGGTGTGGAGCTGCTCCCAGGCAAACGACTTCTTGACTTGGAGGATGTTAGGCGATATTGTACTAGTCTGCGACAGCTGCAAAGTGTGTAACGCGCCAATGGAAAGATTAGCACTGACTGTCAGTCGTTTCTTGCCATGCCTTGCACTTTCGAAGTGCAAAGCTTTCCTCCAAGATTGGCAGGGACCGCCTCCTGCACTGACCTTTGGCAGGAAACAATAAGAAGTCGTTCAGATATTCAGCTACCTAGGCAGTTTTCTCAGCGCCGTTGGAATTGAAGACGAGGTCACTAACCGTACAGCAAAAGCATGAGGCGCAAATCTTCACCTCTTATGGTGCCGGCGGGACATCACTCTCTCCTTGAAGTGTAGAGTGTACGGTTGGGAAATCTGGCCCATTAGATCAGCTGACACAAAAATACTAACTGCGTTCGCTTACCGGTATCATCGCAGTTTGGCTCATATATGGTGGGAACACCGTGTGAGCAATGAGCGTGTTGGACGCCTTGATTTTGGCTCATAAAAAAGAAGCGAATCGCTTAGCACCGGGTACGCGTTGCGCATAGCAGCCCACCGACTCCCAAGATGTGCGATGTTTGCTCGCTGGGGTATGGATGGAAGCAGAGGAGAGTTGGTTATACGATGACTTGGTCACGAAGAATGTAGGCCCTTACTTGGACGTTGGCCACGGTTGGAAGCACTCAGCTCCCTGCTTAGAAACCGAACAATATTGAATACGTTTGGATTGGTGCACTTGTTGATACAGGTAGCAGCCGACCTCACTCGCGTTCGTGCTTTTTCTTTATTCATCCCTCCTCCCGCTTAGCCTCTCCGCCAAACACAATCTCACCTATTAGACATGGTATAACTCTTTTCGCGACACAATAACTTGCTGTTAGCTCTCCGGCTCGTATCCTAGAGGTAACGAGCTTCTCTCATATTCTTGCTGCGCGAGTGCGAATCCGAGTAGGGGTGGATGTCCTAGCGGTATACTCAGCCCGCATGCGACTGGTGGTGGTCGCACCGCAGCGAAGCGTCATTTCGGCGTACAGCTGACACATTACTATTATTACTATTATTATGACCGCTGTTGCAGATTTTTTCCTTTGCTTTAGTATTGTGGTACTATTGTTGTGTCTTCTACTTGTGGTTAACATGTAGAATGGTGATGCTTCACCTAATAACATGCTTCCAGTTCATTACAGCTCTATGCAATAAACGTTGGGTACGGCAGCATTCACACTTCTGAAGTACTGATATCTAGTTGGTCCTACTGGTTCTCGTCGCTACCAGTAATTGACTTCCGAAATACACTTCTATAAAGTAAGCCATCCTGTCGTCTGCTTAGCAATATGTCCAAGAAACTTGGTCCCCCTATTTTTAATTTCACTTGTAAGCTTTAAGGAGCATTGCCAGTTACTGTAAGGAAATAGTAGAAGTCCAACATCAAACTCAATCATTTTAGTGATATCATCCATATACCTCCAGTAATAATCAAGTGACGCAATAACTGTCCTCAGTGGTCCACGTTCATGCTTGACAAGTAAAAGGTCTGCAAGCAACGGTGCTAATGGCGAATCCATCTATCTGTCTATAATAGCATCCTTCAAACAAGTAGTGCCTATCAAGTGTGCATCGTAAGCATAGTTCCTTCATTTTACTCCCTGGAAAACCAGTATAAATATTGGTTTATGTCATTTAATCACAGATGTGGGTGGCATTAACCAGCAACGGAATATCGGTGGAAATTGACTCTCTTATCGACTCACAATATTTCCGCTAGAGTAAAAAGATCAAAATGCTAGTGGGTCTTTTTGATAACGAATGCACAATGCTTTACGTACCGGTTCTTACAATTCCGTGGCGTTAGCTACTAATTTATCTCATCGAATCAGTTTCTTCTTTAATTTTCATTGTCCCGTGGCATTAAAATTGCTCCTTTTCCAAACCACTCAGTTTATGTGGAATAAATGAACTTAACGTCTACGGGACCGCAACACCTTGACTGCAAAGATAAGTCGTTATTTGGTCACATAGACCCTCATTGAACAGATTAAGTTGCCCTAAAGTAACCTGTCTTGTTCCACCCAACTGTTAGTAAGCAAGTGATATCGCTTTTATGACAAACTAACACGGTTCGCTAAGCTCTTCAAGTGTATCAATTTGGCATTCTGTCCTTGGCGAGTATTGTGATTCGGGTGCAGGTCCCTATGCCCGGTGCGACCGAGCTTCACTTCGGCGCAAATGGTATCCACACTGAACTTGCGTGTCTAAATCCAAGCACATGGTAATTACTAATAGTACTTACCTTCCAAGAAGCTCAGCGACCAGTCCACAACTAAACGCCCCCATCGCGCCGGCGACCACAAAGGTTGTGCTGACTTGTGCGTACAGGAATGCTTGGTTGAGGAATCCGTCTACCGGTTTATCATCCTCGAGACCGAGTATCGTGCGACCGAGAAACGATTGAATATACTAAGGTAAGCGGAAAGACAGAAAATTTGTTCACATGTTGGTTTAGCGCATTAGCTAGCACCAGTTACGAGCAAACTTCCTCAATTAGTAGCATCAGCCGTCGATAAAAATCTTAAACCTTACCGAAGGTTCGCCAAGTTCAGTGATTATGAGAATCGATTTGTACCTCTCCCTATCCTAGGTAACTTCGAAAGTCAGCACAACTATTCACCGCTTCCTTTGGCATTGGGCAACTTAAATGCAGGTTGCTTTTTTGTTCGTTGGCACGATATACTGGGCATGAATAGAAATCACTTACTGTTGGACACAAATAAGTTTATTAGACCACCCGGAATGTGGTCTGGGTAACGGACAAATACTCCGGAGAACAAACATCCACTTCACCTTTAGGTGTTACCAAAATGATAGGCATTGAAGTCTGTTCAGCACAACAGTTGCTTTCGATACATATCTGTAGGTTGGAAAGCTTAGTGACTTTTACATCCAGGTTGCATCCAACTCCAAGCTTGAAGCAGAAAGGTATTCTGCAGCACACCGATCACCCCTCAGTGCGGTCAGTAGAACACTTAGTTTACTGGGGAATGAGAAGACAATGTATATGCAAACCTCACCAGTTTTATAACTCCACTCGAACCGGAGTGGTGAAGTCGGATCATTTGACGTCATGATTGCAAAGACACCGTGATAGGTTGTGTAAAGCATAAACTGTGTCGCAAATCGTAAGGAGAAAGTTGAAAGAAATGGCGAATCTATGTGTCATGAAGGTTTGGAAACGAATCTTCGTTGTTTAAGCAGTGACTGAAATGCAAATGTATTATTTTCCTAAACATGTCAACATTCCGTGCAAAACTTGTTCACTAGAATTTCTTTCCCCACAATAAGGTAATCGAATCATCCGTATGACAGTGTGCGCCGATGGTACATGCTTAAGCAATGGCCAAGGTAAAATGGGGTTTAATGTCGAAGCAACTGCTGGTAGCTCATATTGTTTACTCGGTATTTGGAGCGTTCAGTGAGCTGGTGCTTTCGTCGCAAAAGTTTCGTCACCAATTCAGAAGTCGTGCAGCAGAGCGGAGGGAAGTATGATTGCAGCCTATACGATGATCTCGTAACACAGAGGACCCATGACTGAGTGGCAGACAAAGGGGCCTAAAGCTAGAGCATTTTACACAATGGACGCAGGGGAGGATGTCCACTCGAATGATTGCGCAACAAAAGGAAAGAATTCTGCGCAGCGCTTCAAAAGTCGATTGCAGAGGGTAGAAATCCCTAAAACTAACGAACGCGTGAATGGAGTGGTGGGAGTCGAGTTATTGGACACCGGCTAGCGGAACGCCGTTGAATGGTGGCGGTCGATGCCGCCAATTTCTCCGTGTCAACTCAGGATATGGCAAATGGCTTGAACTGCTCCGCTCTTTGCTGTATTGCACAAGGTTTAGTTAGGAGTGACGATCACTTGTTTCGTCAAAATCCGGGTTCACTAGTGACTGTCAAACAAATTACAATAGCTTACACGACTGATCACGTCCATTGTATAAACTACAAACGACAACCTGGCAAGTGTCCCGATCCATGGCTTTCAAGTCTTTCCAAAGCCAGTAAACAGTTTGGCTGCCAAGCTCAACAAGCCGAGAGTGGAGTATATAACCAAATCATACGAAGTATGTAAACGATGTGTCGAGGTTATAGCTTTACACTCTAACTATAGCGACAACTCTGCAGGCTGGTTCAGATATGTAGATGAACACGGACTGTGTTTTCGTATTCGGTTCATCAGCTGATAAATGACAAAGCCTCTTCGAGGCACGTGATGCAGACTGTTATCAAAACTAAAAGTGATACACACCAAGAATTATTGCTATGCTTATCTTTATGACTAGCCTTTGAAACAGAGTGGGAAGTATCAATGTCACCATAATAATCGGCAGTCAGCTACTTGTCAAGTACGTTCATTTTATACGGATATTCCGGAGCGACTTTTCTTAATATGCATGATCCAACGTGGGCACTCGAAAGGAAGTTGTTGAGCCTTGGAATTCATATAGCAAACTTTACTCTATAGCAAGGAGGGGTTATAGAGTACTTGGACTCCGTAAGTAATTTCTGCTTAGTACACCCAGCTTTTCACCCCAATGCAAGGAAGTAATGTTGCATTCTAAGAAGCAAGCACTTGGAAACCTGAAGCTAATGCAGATCCAACGGAATCAACGTTACAAAGCTGGAACTGGATAACAGAGCTCAGCAATCAGTGAGTTGAGCACAACTAAGAAACAACATCATCAAGTCACGGCAGATGGCATCTATGAACTTAAGTCACACATGTGTGCATACAATTGCATATATAATATATATAATATATATAATTAACATCCAGTTCCGTTCTGATTGTTTTTAGTAACCTGAGTACGCGTTGATCAAATCTTAAAAGCACTTTGCCTCGTAAGCTGCCCAAAATCAACCCTTCCTCACCCTGGTGTAAAATTTGCAATCTGCCGTACATGGCCAAGTCGGATCACGATTCCCAAGAAACATATCCGTGAAAACTGAACAGTCCCGATAATCAACTGGCGAGTATCATGAAGTAGGGACTTCACGCACTGATTCATATGTTAGTCATGCGAATGAGCAGAGCAGTCTGTTTCGTTATCTGTCTGCTGCGCTTATGAAAAGCAGATAATATCGGGCTACAAAAGGAAATGCAGATTCGCCTATTAAAAATTGAAATAGAACTGGCCGATGTTAGTGTAGACAGAAAAACGTCAGATCAACTGTGTTGTTGTGTTTATGTTTTAGTATATCTCATCAGTTGTGTCTCATGCTGAGGTTGATATTGCATTTATTATGCTTCTTCACCGCAGTTGTACTACAGTGGCTTACACATGTGTTTCACAATACTTTAATTTTGACTTTTCTATTTTGTTTTATTTGCGTAGTTCTGTTAATCATCCGCATATTCCCTGGTTATTTCGCGTGGTTACTTTCCCTTTATCCCCGGTGTTACTCGGTTGATATCCCCTGAGTGACACTAGGCCAGACTTAATGGGCATTAGTTTGATCTGTTCACTACTGTCATTCTGTCGTGCATTCAGTGTACTGAGTGCACTTTCCTCTGTTTGCTGTTTGATATCCCCGGTTAAGTTGTGGTTGTTGTGAATGATGACAGGGTGCCTACTTGTCAGAAAAAACCATACCTAGATTATTCTGGCTCGAGGAAACAGTCGGCCGTTGCTTGGAGAGTCGAGGTTCAAGGTCTTTGCGACCGTGCTAGACTCACATTATTGTTCCATCCACTGTGGATCGGGCAACGGCCCAGCCACTTCCTTGTATACGTCTGGGAAGCACGCTTCTTAAATTAGATACAGGAATGCTGCTGCTGTGCAGGTTGAAGGAGTGTGAGCCGGCTCCGTTGATGAAACTTGGCTCCCATTCACATGCCTCCCGGTCTTATTCCTTTCGCGTTTCCACTGAATATGGGATGTGTGCTAGGAGCTGAGTGGTACAGCCTAAGCCACCTGTGATCTCTCAGTGAGCGCATGCGTCCTGTGGCTGTCGTCATGGAGACCGCACTGACTGACAAATTCGGAACCAGCTATTGCCAACCAGCTTTCATCCTAAAGTAATCCGCCCTCAGTTACTATTATAGAAGTGGGTCAAATTGCTGCATCACTAATTTACAATCACATATCATTTGTAAATTGCTTATCGCAACAGCAGAGTACACCACCACATCTGCTAAAGGTTGAGAAAGACTACTTTGATGGCAGCCATGTTTCATTTTGCAAAGTTGTTAGACATTTGGAACACCATTTCGAAAGCATGGTGTTGAACGTTGGACACAGGGTACTTATTTGCTGTATTATATTTGTGGTCACACCTGGTGTACCAGGTGTGCCTGGTGCCTGGTGCACCTGGTGTACTTGGTGTACCTCGTACCACTTACCATTCATTTAACAGGCCCAAATGTTAGTTACCAGTTTTGGTGCCTTCTTCGGATTGCCTGGAACAACCAAGGGCATCCTGAACCAATACGCCCAAAACAAGTTCAGTGGCAGTTCGCTGCAGCACACACATTCCGATGTTGTAACAGTGGTTGCTTTGGTGTCGTATGGAGAGCATCTTGCATTTACTCATATTGATTTGGAGTGACTTTTGGATAGACCAACTATGTGTCGTGTCTAGATCACGCTGAAGCTGTTTCTGGTTAGTATTCCCCTAAATTTTGTGCCAGTTCTTGACATCCTCCGAAAATAGCGAGAAAGTAGCTGTAATTGCCCGCGTGAAGTCATTGATAAATACCAAAAACGATCGGGAACCTAGCACCGAGCTTTGAGACACACCACATTCAAGGTGTATGGAGTCAGATAAAGAGCTCTGAACTCTGACCACCAATTGCACTGAAGGAGATGGTTGGCGATCCAGCTTGGAAAAGAATCACCGATCATGTAACGCTGTAGCTTGGAAAGGAGTATCCGGTGATCTAGACGGCCGAATGCTTTCGAGAAATCCAGGTAGATCACATCGACATCATCTCCAACGTCAGCTGAATCCGCGCTACTAACAAATTCGTTGTGCACGATCGATTTCAACGGGGGCCGTGGTGCTCAGGAAGATTAATGTTAGAGTTTGCAAAATAGCCCACCAGCGCATCGGCTGTGATGGATTCCGTCACCTGGGAAAGTATCGAGAGAACGGAAACTGGTCGGTAATTTGAAGCCTCGGTTCTGCGACCACGTTCGTAAATGGCTGTTATTAATCCAAGCTTCCACATGACAGGAAGCTGGTTCTTGTCTAAGCAGTGCTGGAAGAACTGATCCAGTAGCTCTGCCAGTTGACTTGCTGCTGCTGGCAGTGCCTCTGGGCGAATAGTATCGACAGCCGGGGGTTTGTGCTTGTGTATATTAGTCGGTTTCTGCAGTACAACTTCAGTGGTAAAGGAGGTGTGCGTGAGTCCCGGCGGCGGGGCGATAAAAGCTGGACGATCTCCTGATGGTAATACCCTC